TGCTTTGAGGGATCTATGCATTTAATGCACCTTAAATAATTGAATCCAAATTATTCATTATAATTAGCTTTCACAAAATTCACAATATTGACCACACATTCTGCTCAGGCCATTAAGAAAGCTAGAATATTTTGAAAATCAATGCAAATTGCTTCCATATCATTTATTGATTCACATATTGAACATCCCCCAAGGCAATTTTTGACATGAATCCCAAACAAAATCGATATCGATAAAAACTTGTTTTATTTACCTATTTGAATGAATTTGCAATAATGAACAAATGTTTTCAAAATCATTTGCTGTCCTCAAATTAAATAACTCCTTTTAGGATTTTAGAGATAAAGCATATTCTTCAAATATTGGTATACATAAAATATTAATTAATTATTAATTTATTATTAGCTTATCAAAATATTTATATAAATTAATCTTTTTTGCTGAAAGGCTAGTAATTTTAATTTAATTTAATACAAATTTTATCATCCTAGATTAAAATTTGAATTCAAAATTTAACTTTCTTAAATGGAAAGAAAATATACATTTATCACCTTAAATTAACAAATATTTATAAAATTGACTCTTGACTATTCTTATTATATTATAATGATATATAAAAGTTTTATTTATTTTTACTTTTCTGTTTTCAATTTTCATCTAAAATACAAGGAAAATTGTTCAATATCGTAAATTTTCATATTTAAATCAATAATATTTCACCAAATGGTAGAAAATTTTGAATCATAATAAAATTTTTCTAGGTTAAGAAATAGATTGCCGACCTCATGTATTGCTATAATGATTAGAATTCTGCTAAATACATGTTATATTTTCGATTTAGTTGGATGTTCTATGAAAAAAACAAGTGTATCTCATCTTAAAGCTATCTAGTTATTAATGTCTAAATCATTATCAAATAAATAACTACAAATAGTTTAGTTTTGATTAAGCTATGTTGCTGATTTTCTAAATTGATATAAAAGCTATTTTTAATTTAGATTGTAGTAAAATATCGCTACAATTTGTTCTAAGTAAAATATAAATTAAACTTAATAATCTCATTTTAGATTTTAAGAACCTTAATTTTTAGAATTTCTAATTGAAATTTAATCTTAAATTTAACTTCGATCAGAAATATTGATGAAGGTTCTTTTCTGAATAGATTTATGTAGAAAATGAAAATATTTAAATTTAAACATGAAAATCTAGACTAATTATAATAGACAATATCTAATTTAATTTAACTGTGTTTCTTTGCTGTAATAATAATTCTAAGAATAAAGAATACTATGTAAAAGTTTTTGAAGATAGTTTTCATGAGGAAGGAAGATTTTCTTGAATTAAATTTTACTTAAGTTTAAAATATGATAAAATTAAATAGTCTTATTCTTATAATTTAAATCTCTAACTTCAATAAGAGGTAAAAGTAATTGTTCCTTATGAGGCATAGAAATCATATTAATTTGATTCTTCATGAGATTATATAAAATTAAATGAAATTTCATTTATTCTGTTATCTTTTGTTCTTCTACCTTCTATCATTAGGAAGTTCGGAAATCTCTAAATGTGTTTGTGGGCATGTTAAAAGTTAATTTGAATGTTAAAAATCAGGTATTTGCTTTTGGGACATAAATTAATGTAAAATATGCCCAGGTCAAACATACAATATGTAAATTTAAAATTAGAATTCATGCAAAAATTTCGCAAAAGAAGATTGCAGAGAGTAAAAATCATGTGGTTTTCATTTTGGTTAATGCATAAACTTTACAGATTGTAGCATTTTTAATAAAGATTATTGTTAAGAATCTTCATATAAATGTGTGTTTGATGGCATAAAGTGTGTTCAAATATTAGATTGTAAAGATTATAAGACAGAGAATGGATGCCAAAATAAAAATAAAAATGGTAAGTACTGTTTTTGGGTTTAGGATATAGAGAAAAAATGCAGAGATGTTGTAATTTGTGAAGAATTGCCAACATATTTGATCAGTCATAAAATGTGTAAAGAAGGTTTAGGTGTCTGCACTGTAAGTGAGAAAGGTTATGGATGCATTGAGTAATTGGAATCGTGTAATTACTATTATAAAGAGTTTTAATGTTTTGAAAGTAAGTAAAGATAAGAAAATTGCTTTTGGGATAAAAAAAGTAGTATGTGTGTTGAAAAAGTTTGTGAGAATCTTCCATTTTCTTAAGATTTTGAGTGTAAATCATAGTTAAGTGATTGTACATCAAATGGAGTTCATTGTGTAATAAGGAGGTAATGTAGTGATGCTTAAAATAAATTTGGCTGTGTTACTGATGTTTAAGGTAGGAAATGCGAGTATCATTAAAATGAATGTAAAATCAAGAGTTGTAGCACTGCTCCTAATACTCTTACAAATTATCAATAATGCTAGAATTATGATAATTTATTAGATTGCGTTACTTCTGAAAACGGAGGATGTAAAATAAGACCCGAATTATGTGATGGTTATGTTAGAGAAATGGATTGTTATTCTGTAGAATTATAGGATTGCAAATGGTACAACAATAGATGCGAATAAAGATAATGTTATCATGCACCAATTTATTATGACCATACAGATTGTAAGACATATGGAAATTGCATAGGGAAATTAAATGGTGGATGTAATGCAACACCTTAATTATGTGATGAGATTCTAGAATAATAATTTTGTGAATTCAATTATAATAAAGAAAGTTGTGTTTGGTTAGAAGGAAGCTGCTTATTATTAGAATGTAATAAATTGTAATTACCAACTTACAAGAGTCATGATATATGCTAATAGGCAAGTGAATTTTGCACTTTTAATATCGATTCTTTGGGTTGTACAGATTATCTATGTGAGAATATTCTAGAAATCGAGTATTGCACTATTGATTCAAGTGGCACTGTTTGCATATTGAATCAAGGATGTATAGAGAAGAAATGTAAAAGTGCTCCACCGCAATATGATACTAATTAGAAATGTGAATCATGGTTGCCGATATGCACAGTTAATGTTTAAATGTTATCAAACAACTAAAAAATTCTGATTGGATGTGTAGAAAAAATGAATATTTGTTCACATGCTCTTGAAGATCAATGCTATTCTACACTTTCAGGATTTTAGTGCAAATGGGATTAAATTAATTAAATCTGTCTTGATTAAGTCTGTACAGATGCAAATCCTAATTAATATAAAACTAATGAAATTTGCGAATCATTTAAAGTCTTTTTAGGTTCTTGCATAATTGGACCTACTGGAGAAGGATGCTAATAATGGCCGACTGATTGTAATCTAATGTTAAGTTAACAATAATGTGAATTGAATCTATAAAATGGAACCAGATGTTTTTGGAATAACAGTTATTGTAAAATATCTGAATGCTCAGATGCTTCTAAAATTGATTATACCAATAATGTTGAATGTAATACTTGGCTGGATTATTGCATTTTTGATCATACTCTAGGGGGATGTAAAGTCAGGCCTAATTCAGTTGCTTGCACATCTTCGCCTAACAATAACATGTATAAAACTCATTAAGAATGTTTTGCATGGAATCATTAATGCACTGTTACTCCTTCCTTTACAGCTGAAGGATGCGAACAAAAGAAGCAAAATTGTAATCAATTTATCAGACAAAGGAATTGCAGAACGAATTTGAATGGATAGTATTGTTATTGGGATGATGCAGAATAAAATTGTAAAAATGAGGATGATGATAATAATGGGTAAGTGGATTGTCATAAGAGAATCTATGGAGAATTATCACATGAGGATTGTGAAAACTTCCTGCCCAAATGCACTTTAAATAGTATTGATAGATATTGCTCAGATCTTTCCTATATTTGCGATTATAAATATAAATAACAATGCTAAATCACTATATTTTAGTAGCCTTGTAAGTGGGATGACTAAAATTAACTATGTAAGGAAGTAGTTTGCACAGATAATACAACTGCAACAACCGAAGCTGAATGTTTTAGATTCAAGAAATTTAATTATTGTCAATTGAAAATTAGTTCCAAAGGAACATTTGGACCAGGATGTGAAACTAGACCAGCCTATTGTGAGTATATTACAAATCCAGTTATATGTAAATTAACTGTTACATTAAGTAATGAAAGATGTTATTATTTTGATTCTTAATGCTAGGTTGTACAAAACTATTAATGTGAGTTTGTTACTGATAGTAAAAGTAATGAGCTCTGTCAATTATATAATAAAAGTTGTGTGTTATAATCGAGTGGATAAGGATGTTATTCTACTAAAACTTGTTCAGATTTGACAAATTAAGTTTGTAACAGTGCAATAATGCAAAGTGATTAAGTGTGTAACTATTCTGACATATGTCGAAGAGATACGATTTGTTCTGATAAGCTTCTCTCTAAGAGTAATTGTGATGGCTAAAAAACACGATTAGGACAACTATGTTAGTATGTATAGTCTTGCTCTGGAATTTGTAAATATTAATGCATCGGATAAATAGCGCAAAAAACTATGAACTTTACTTCATCTACGACTCTTTCACAGAAAAGATAATAATGTTAAGACTATTCCTCAACCTATATATATGATACAAATTGTAATTGCTGTGTCTTATTGACTTCCTGCAATCTTTTTTCAGGTGCTGCTTCACTTTGCAACGCATCAATAGCCCAATCAAGCTAGATTATTCAAAGATGTGGATATAATTCCTCTACTAGCACTTGTGAGAACAGAAAATGTGAGCATATTAAAAATGCTACCTCTGATAAAGGATGTTATGGTTGGAAATATGATTGCGTTTTTGACGGTACTAGTTGTAAAACTTACTCTGGAGATTGTACCTAAATAAAATTAATTTATCAATGCTAATATTATTCTTGTTTTTGGCAAGCTGGTAAATGCGTAAATTATCTTGATTGTCAACTCAACACCAATGCAGTCTCGAATCGTGAATGCTTATTAATAAATGCCCAATATTGCAGATTAAATTACACTAAAGGCCAAGGTTGCTCCTTTATGGATTGTAAACACATTACTAACTCTGTTGTGTGTACTCAAACAAAACTTATTGATGGATCAAATTGTAAATGGTACAATTCTTCATGCTATCCCAAATATTGTTATGAGTATACTACACAATCTGGATGCCAGAATAGTTATGCTTATTATTGGGAAGTATCTACACAATGTTATTGGTGTCCCATCTATTCTACTAAATGTTCTAATTCTAAATACT